GCCTCCTTCTGCCTGTTACATACATTTCAACAAAACCATTATACGCTGATTTCCCCTTTTTGAATGGGTTCAGGGTATAAAAATGTATACATTATTTAAATATCTTTAGCTTGTTTGTGCTTACCTTTGGTGCAAATGAAGGTAAATGATTAGGTGGCACAAATGGCGTTGGGCCACCCAAGCCATTGTGCAAAAGCCCTGTTGGATTATATCCCGTATAACCAGGGGGAATTCCAATGCTTGCACGATAGAACTGTTGGTCGACTGCAGCAATTTTAGGTATATCTTTAAATAACGGTGGAGGAAAAATTTGTGCTGGATTCGGTGGCGTAGCCGGCAATACAGTGGAAGAGGCGGACATTGGAGCTGTAGATAAAAGTTGTGGATGTTGATGCATGTGCGTATGCTGATGATGTAAATCTTGGCGCATATACGTTGAAGACGACGATGGAGATGGCTGGGTTAAGCCAGAACGGTCTAAAAATCGACTGTCAAGCTCACGGCGCAATAAATCTGCCTGATCGTCTATTTACAGGGAATATAACATTAAAGAATATCAAGATTACTTTAATTTCCAACTGATTACTATTTTAAACATTCATACTTTTACTTGGTTGAAAGAGAGATTCTGCTGAAAATGGATGTGGTGTAGGCACAACAGCGGAGACTGTTGCTACAGTTGGTTCTGTATTACCCAATGTGCTGATAGACGATGTCGTGGTTGTTACCGTAGCCATTGCCGCAATAACGGCTGTTGTATAAGACACCAAAGGTAAATGAGAAACAGTGCTGTTGATGCTACTTGCAACTGAAGTGTTCGCAGGAGAAGATGAATTTAATGGTGCATGGGGGGTAGCAAAAAATGTGGCCTGAAAGTTTGCTATTGGAACATGTGCACCGCCAACAGTTGAATGAACCGCATGAGGTGAAGTAGGATTTCCAGCAACTCGACCTAGTGCTCCTATGACACCTGAGTTTAAAGGAGACGAAAGTGGTCGAATATTGCCACTAGTAACAGTTGGAATGGATGGTGTACAAGTCATTGCGGTTGGCTGCATAGCTGATTGGCTGAAAATATATTATATTTTAGGTATCACATAATTTCTTACGAAATATCATACCTTAGCCAGAGCCCTGTCTTTGTGGTATATGTGGATATGGTATGACCCGCAATAGGAAGTGCTGAATGTGAAGTTGGTAACGCGGTCGCTGCTAACGTAGTTGATGAAACAGATACGGTACTGTAGGGTGTCGATGGCACAAGACCAGAAAATGGTGTGCTTATTGCAGTACCTGGTGGTCCACTTGAAACCGACACAGTATTGCTGGGACGCGCAGCTGCACTGCTGAGTATAAAAATATTGAAATAATTATAACTAAATATAGTCTTATAAATTAATGTATAATATACGCACTTATCATATATAAATATCATTTTGTCTTTATATATATATATATATATATATATA